AGCTAACGTTAAATAGGCAAGCTAATTATTTTCCGCGTTGACTGCAGAAGTTTATGTAATTTTAAACATAGATTTTCTCGTGTCTTTTTCTTTTAAGGTGGGAAAATCGTCGAATGACTGCTCCCGCCCGGGTGACGCGGGAGGGAGTGTCAGACTCTTACTGACTAAAAACCACCCCGTTCCTTCTCCTGCACGTCGAGCTGGAGCCCCGGTTACCCGTTAGGTTCTCCGCGAAGACTTCGATACTTCGATAAAAACCTAGAAACTTGCAGAAAACAGCCCGAACTTTCAACATATTTGTTTGATTTTCTCAACTTTATCTAGGTACTAGCTGTGTCCGCGACTTCGTACGCGTGTAATAGTGATTTACAGCTCCTCTCCCGTAGGTGATAGCGTAATAATGTAACCTATACATACTAATATTATAAAGAGGAAAGATTTGTATTTTTGTATTTTTGTATTTTTGTATGTTTGTAATGAATAAACTCAAAAACTACTGGACTTGCAATCGGCAATAATTTTTTCACCATTAGAAAGCTGCATTATTCAGAAGTAACATAGGCAACATAATATCACGCTAGGTCCTATAGTTGTGGAGCAGTAACCAAAAATGTTTTAAAAACGGGGGAAAAGTATCGTTTCTGAGGCCTTCCGTGGCGTGCGCTGAGCATATAGTTAAAGTTATACAAAAATGCTCTATAGATGAATTGTTCATCTTAACATTATTTTTAAAAAAGTCCGCGAGAGCATATGTCTACCTTTTATAGTTTACCCATAACAATCGTTTTAATGAATGGTTCAATCCTTATAAAAGTTTGCTCTAGATAACTTTTGAATTGTTCAATCGGTTACCTTAAGGCTATTAATTCATCCAAAAGATACCTATTAGGTAAGTACTTACCTACTATTTCAAAAATAATAAACTGAGAATAAATATAAATAAAACGTAAAACTATGTAAAAAATCTTAAGTCCCCGTGCGAAGCCGGGACGGGCCGCTAGTATCTACATAATAATATATTGTAAATCCATGCAGCACTTTTTGGCTTCGTTATCGATCACGCCCCAAGGATTCTTTTAAAAAAATAATCTATGTCAACAATTTTCACATTCGTACAATTTTATTATAGTTAGGTATGTACCTACCTATAGATAGATTTCTATCACTGCCATTCTTCAATACAGGCGTATTTAAGTCTTTAGTTGCCGTCTTTATAAAACCTGTACCTACCTAATGTACCTAATTAATGAGTTACCATTGGTTGGACACCGAAGGGTCAAGTCAACTGACGCGAACATTAATATTGTAGCCAGTCATGGATAAACAACGATTCGCTTCATGTTTTATTCAAGCAAAGGTTATTGCCTTACAGCCTAGTATTTTTTTTTCTTGCCATTTATTCAATGCCCCCCACACACGGTGTTCCGCACTTTTTGTTTGACAATCAACAATCACTAATTGACCGTGTATGGGAGATTCGATGAATGGCTGAGAAATACATTTGTATTTAAAGTTTTAAACAATCGACTGAACTTCACAACATTGAACCGGAATCGACACTTGATTACACGATATACGAGAATGTAATAATATTGTGATCATGTGATATTGTAACGATTTATATTTCAGTTTCGAATGTTGTGAGTTTACATTTACGAAAGAAAAATAAGAAATGACAACATTAAGTAGGGTGGCCAAATTAATTTCTTACGCAGACAGTCCTGTAATAACTCTTCTTATAAAATACCTACCAGTTTTTTGCGGTTGTTTCTTGTTACACATTTACACAATTATGCAATTATAATTAAGAAAAATGCAATGAGTACTAGTGGTCAAATGGGTTATACTCCTAATTAATAATGGAATGTTTTAAGAGAAGAGAAATCATAGAAAAGTGCTAAATATTGCGCAGACGGAATTTAGCGAAACGTTAAAATATTTAGAACGGTTTCTTTACTTTACTTTCAATTTTTAGCGTACAACAGAAATGGGTGTTAACTGGCGTAAATTTCTTTACATTCATTTCATTCATGATGTTCCGTTTCTCATACGTTAAGGTTGTAGTAACATTCACAAAGCCAGTGCCTAGAAAATAATTTCAATTTTTGTACGCCACCATTATACCCATTTGCCATTACATTATACATTTGAATTGAGTGTAAATAAAAAGTTATCCTTTAATTTTAACAAAATAAAGATTTTATTTTTCAAAATATTAAAGACTTTACTGTAGCTTCTTTATAGGACAAAATGGCGTGCTAGTCTAGCAGTAGATTGCGAATATTACGATAGGCAATCATTACATAATTCTAACATTCCTGTATCACATACCTAAAAACCGCAATTGGAATTGCACACTTGCATCAAGCGTAGTACTAACTGGATACTAAATTACCATACAAATGTATTCGTATCATTTATTTAATAGTTGCCATATTTCTTATAATTCCTATGAAACTACAATAAACAATTTATTATGAAAAGTTGCCGGTCCCAGCTGAGCTCTTGCATACAAATGGCTTTTCGTAATAGATTGCCTAATGTCACATCTTCAATTTTATTGCAAGTAAACATTCGGTTATGGTTCCGTAGGCAGAACATGAAGTTCTTATTTAGTGTAATCCATTTGTCTACGTGTACTTTTTAGTACCTACTATTGATAAAACTTGGCTTCTCTTTTATTAATCGCAAAACTAAGCGCTTGGATTTGTACTTATTTTGTTCACAAACAAACATTTCTTGGTGTCTAAAATAAAACGAAAAAGATTAGATATTCAAAATGATGTCTGAAGTCAACATTCGCAATGCTATGCCGTTTTCCCGTGCGGTACGCGGTACCCAAGAGGTAGGCAGGTAGGCATACGTACGTGATATCATCTCCGCGGCGCGCGAGGCGTGGCGAGGAAGATTAACGCGACTCCAATTTACATAAACTAGTCAGTTACATAAGGGAAAGTGGTTAAACTTTTGTGAATAACAAAATTTACACATGCCGCCAGCTAAAAGTGCTTTTCATTGTTTAATTTACGAGTGTGGTGACAGAAAGGAGGCCCATGTGGCTTAGCGAGCATTATATTTGAAAAGGCTTTCAAACAATATTTGTGCAAGATATTTATGTAAATATCCTAATAGGTATGTAGATGTAGACTATGCCTATTGTAGTAAAATATTCGATAATTCGGATTTCTAAAATTTTCATAATTTTTCAAGTTCATGGACGATTGTAAAAACTTCATTTGAAAATCAATAGATTAATGATAATCTCAGTCACAATTGACATTGAGAAATCCACATAATACTTTTACATAATACATATATGTATTTGCACAAATGTATAGAGAATTGAATATTTCTATAATGCATGACTCATTATTTTATTTGTGATAATTACGTAATGCTTCATAGATCGGAGCACAACCTAATAAAGTTAAAAGAAACGGGGCTTTGATCATGTTTTTATAGGAACCTGTTGAAATAAAAAAGGCGGTTTCTTTAACCGCTTGTAGGCAAATACCTTTGAAGCAAAAAGGTTAAGTATCTGTTGAGCTCACAGCCTTTAAATCTCATGTTTTAATGAACTAAGTATGCCAAAGGTTTCGGTCAGTAGTAAGTAATCGCGAAGAAAACAACCCAATACGCCAAACTGTTCGGAAAATTAAACACTAATTAGCTTTAATAAATTAAAATTAATTCGCTTAAGTTTTACAACTGGTGCACGAAATTAAACAAGTGAAATCGCTTTTATCTTCTTGTAATTAAATCTGTACCAGTTTTTAGAAGATTAATTTCATGATCAGGGTCATTGAAATATGATAAAGATGTCAACAAATTATAATTATCGTTAAATAAATACTTATTTATGTATTCAATCGGTTTACGAAACAATAAATCGTTATTATGTTTGATTTCTATTAACTAGATATATTAAATCAAGATTACAAAGATATCTCTTTCGCTTTTCGACTGCACGCTGCACGCTTGCCAGATATGGACGCATATCATCTTCAATTTATAATCGATCATCAATAATCACGCGATAGTCTTCATCTCTTCTCTACAATATATTTCTACTCGAACGAGCAACAATAAATTCCGACAAGCTTAGCGGTTAAGCATCGACAATGAAGTTTTCTTACAAGTTCCCAGTATTGAAAATATTCATGAATACTGGGATCTGTCTAGTAAATTGATATCAAGCATGTGGAGTAACGGCGTCTAAGTTTCGATAAATAATTATAGTGATTACCTTGCGTGATGTACCAAGTAGGTAACTGATACTTTAATGGTACTTAAATCTCAAACTTTCTACAACACTTCGTTTAGTGATTGTGTAGGTATGAATATAATTTATAGCAGAGACCTACCTATCGTTAGGGGCGGAGCGCTTGCACCCAAAGCTTGAAATTTATTTAAAGTAACTGTTAGCAGTTCTTAACGCTAAAGGCATTTAAAACCATGAGTCCGTATTTTTTGTTTCTAAATCTTACATTTCATTATTCAACAGTCCTTCAAATTGCTTTTAATTTAGAAGTAGTAAAAAATTTGCACACAACCTGTCGCAACTTCATAATATTGTTGTATCCTGTATTAATCATCCAAATTCATGGTCAATACGTTTCTCTTTTGAACTTCGAATGTGTCTGTCATTTAAATATAGAACGAATTGGTAATTGATTGACTATGCTGCAATTTTGTTTTTGTCTGCAATCGTAAAAATAGTTTTATGAATAAAATATCAGTTTGAAGTCGACCTACATGCCTACAACTATACAAGGTTAATTAATTTAAAGAATACCATGTGCTTACAACACATGAATGTTTGTAAATAGGTAGGTAAGACTGCATCTTCTTTATTTTCTTAAATTAAAAATTCATGCACACAATAATTGGTAGGCTAATGAATAAGTATAATTAAACACTTTCATAATTACTTCCAAACTAATGAGATATACTTTCTAAAATTTTAAAGTTTACTGAAATAAATTATAATGGGAACTCACCTTTCCAACTAGAATCCAGTTGGGAATGTTGATCAGTCGATATCGATGTTCGATGAATTCAAACACCCACGATAAAACGATGTAGGTAAACAATTTTATTAATATTTATTCGAAGTTAAAATTATTACGAAATCCATAACAAACAAACATGGGATGCAAACCCGTTTTCACGTTAGAAAAATTCCTTTCTAATATTCACTGAGTCTAATCAAACTGGAAATATCACAACAAATCCTTCAAATAAATCGATTTATTTGAGATTTTCGATCGGAATACAACACTCACTCTTGTCTTTTATTTATTTCTTTTTTCAAATTAGAAACGTTCACTTCGGCGTCACCGCGCATGCGCTCAACAAACGCGCGTGCCTTCGACGACGACGGTGCGACTGTCTGAGCCAATCGGCGTTTTGCATTCTCCGAAGATCGAGTTATTACACAAACGAGTTTGAACGGTCGTCAGCTGTCGTAAATAAGCTACGTTCAGTATACGTTCTTGTAGAACCGGCTAATACGATTGTTTCTTACTGTCCACAATGTAAAATGACACTTATCTCGTAATCATAAGATTTAGAATTAATATTGAGGTCGTAAGATTTACATTTATTTTCTTAAAGTGTTGACGTTCAATTGCTATAGGAAAATGATATTACGAGCAAGCGGTATAAGATTTATATTCATTTAATGCGCAATGAAATGAATGAGATATTTTATGGAAGGTATTTTGAGTTTTATAGTTAAAGTTATAGTGGTTAAAATTGCATGTTTATGTTTGTGTTGAGTTGATCACCTTAGAAGAAATGCTGTGGCCTCGAGTGGTATGTGCAGTGCATAGTTGAGTGGCCCGAAAGCCCGCGCAGAATCTTGATGTTTTATCATCGCACGTGACGTAACACCTGTTGAACTTTTCTATTGTTTCCCAATTACAATTAGGTACAATTACAGTCTTCAAAATAATAATTGTGAAACAATATCGCCTTTTGTTACATTTTAATAATTCAAACGTTTTTATTACTGTTTTAATGAATCATTTGATTGAACTAATATTATGAAATTTGATTCATATTCTATTGAATTAAAATACCAGCGACATCTAGTTGAGAAACAATAGGTACTAATTTTCATTTAACGTTTTCTCAAATATAATGAATGACTTTACAAACATGATTTATGAAACAATGATTTATTTCATGGATTAATTAACCTTTTCAATTGCAGTAATGAAGCACAGTTTAAATCTGTAACTCGACTACTCGACGCTAGATGGCGCTAACCTTTATTACGAGCATTTCTTATCTAATATTTCAGTCAATTATAGAAAATCTATCACAAACTAACATTCCTGAGCTCTCCAACCAGTGAGTCATACATATAGCCTTAGATAGTGGAAAGAAACCAGTAACTGTCACTCACGTACACACACACTTCCGTCAACATATTTACGTGACTACACCGCGCAATGAGGCGTCAATAATTTCAACTTAGCGACTTAATAACTTCGCGAATACTGTTTAATTGTTCGTCTAATGTCTTCTTCCGTGCTTACGTAATGTGAAGATGTAATATTTGAAGAGAAATTAGCTAACAGTCTGTGCCTAATTGCCGACTCTTTATGGACAATAGATCATGCGGATTGACATTTATTGTTGGAATATTAGTTAGCACGCGATTGTTTAGTTACATAGTAATAAGTCATTTGAGAATACATTAGAGGTATAAATATTGACTCGTTCAACTACCTTCTCAGAAATTACTTATTATGAGACTTGAGTAGTCATGAATATTCTTGATATATCATTGTGTAGACTGTAGGTACATACATCACGCCTTTACAACAAACGTACATCACGCCTTTTATCCCCGAAGGGGTAGGCAGAGGTGCACATTATGCCACTGTACAATTACAATGTAACATCCATTTTTCACTATTTATGTTATAAGTCCCATGTAATAGGGGGTGAGCCTATTGCCATATACCGGGCACAATTCCAGACTCCGTGCTACTACCTATTGAGATTTTTTTTAAAACCCGGTAATACTTTGCCCGAGCCGGGAATCGAACCCGAGACCCCTTGCCCGGCAGTCGCACTTGCGACTACTCGGCCAACAAGGCAGCCTCTTCCCCTTCTTTTGTGGTGTAGTTAATTATTATTTAAGAGTTGATTTAGTCATTCCCTTTATAATGTCAACTCTGACATTAGGTTAGCAACGTCGTGCTTAGTTCGTAACTGCTCTAGTTGAAGATTTTGATAGTATGGTACTGCAACCATACCATGATAGTATCCCCCACAATCCTCAAATTCCCAAAAGCCCGGTAACGCACTTGTAACGCCTCTGGTGTTTCAGTTGTCCATGGGCGACGGCGATTGTTTACTATCAAGTGATCTGTCTGCTAGCCTACCGGTTTATCCTATAAAAAATAAAATAAAAAGCCACTCTTCTACCTCATGTTCATTTTATTTAGTGATACAAATGTCTATAGAGTTACCTACTTACTAAATATCACGCACACATTCTAACATTATGTTGTATATTACATATTATTATATAAAATGCCACGATTTTGGTTCCAATCAATACTTACTCGAGTCCAATAATGAGATCATACAATTTTGAAACAAATTCATTAGGAATTAGTGAAAAATAGTATAGTGATATCAGAATTGTCTACTTGCCAACTAGTCAAATTCAATACTTTTTTTCGAACTGTCAAAATAGACAGTTTCCAATGAATTTTGTACGAGATTGTGTATTGTGACGTCACTTTTTTTAGCGTCAAACAGTGTACTTATTTCTCAAAAATTTGCTGGAAAAATAGTAAAATGAAGTTGGTCATAAAATCAATTACTGAAAGTGTCATTATTTTTTAATATTTTATTGTATTGAACAGTCGAAATAATTTATTTTTGATTAAGGAAAGTACCCAATTGCTTTTCTATAAATGATCGTGCATAATCTATCATTTTTATGATGATGCAATGGCAAGATAATTATTGTATGAAGAAAATACTCATGGTTTATATACTAGATACTTCTGTGCCATTATATTTTCACCAGTATTCCGTAAGTAGTACGACACATATTCACACTTCAGTTGCATGTAAGTAATTATTATTGACTTGCTTTACTTATTATTCGTTTCATCATAATCATGATAACATCACGCCTTTTATCCCCGAAGGGATAGGCAGAGGTGCACATTACGGCACTTAATGCCACTGTACAATGTAACACCCACTTCTCACTATTTATGTTATGAGTCCCATGTAATAGGGGGTGAGCCTATTGCCATATACCGGGCACAATTCCAGACTCCGTACTACTGAGATTTTTTTTATAAACCCAGTAATACATTTGAGACCACCCTGCCAACGAGGCAGTCTTATTATTTTTGTACCTTTTCCAATATAGTCAAGTCATTAAGGTCCCATTTCTAAGGTCTCTTACTAGTTAATACAAAATGTAACGTATTTTATTTAATAATCCTATTTCTTTCATCAATGTATTATTAAGAGGTGCATTGAAACATGTCGGATAGTGAAATGTGGAACTGATATCAAATAGCTACAGTAAAATTATGTTTTTATAACAACTATCATGAGACATATTAAATTAACTAAAAATCGCGGCTTACTCACGTGAATAAATGAAACTAGCAGAGCTTTTCTCAGTACATTCACGTACGTAACCCGCGATTTTTAGTTAAACTACAGTATAGTTATCAATTAGAGGCAAGAGGTAAGATGAAGAGACAAAATACAGTTACAATCAACACACAGATATGATTATGTTTTAAACTACAGATATCACCAGAGCTGTATTAAACTGTCAAACATCAAGCGGTCACCGGTGACCGCAACCTATTGTTCTATAATTGTGTCTACAAAACCGGTACTCGACGAGTTAAACCTAGAGAGCGCCCTAGACACGCACCTCATAGGCGGCGCTAACTTTTCTTGGCGTCACTCTATGGGTAGATAGTAGATACGCGTATCTCGTGGTGCACGTCCGTAAGGCTCTAAACCTTACGGAGCTAACTCCAACCGCAAATTGCAGTTCGGATGCAGTATGATGCAGTCGTCTCACGACTGCAATTGAACTGCAAACCAAATATGCAGTCCGATTGCAATTCAATTGCAGTCATGACCAAACTGTTGCAAACCAAACGAGCAGTGCGATTGCAGTTCTATTGCAGTCATGACCAAACGGTTTCAAACCAAACGAGCAGTCCGATTGCAGTTTTATTGCAGTCATGACCAAACTAGCAGTCCGATTGCAGTTCAATTGCAGCCATGGCCAAACGAGCAGTCCAATTGCAGTCATGACCAAACGGTTGCAAACCAAACGACCAGCCCCATTGCAGTTCTATTGCAATCGTGTCCGAACTACAATTTGCAGTTTGCAATTAATATGAGGTTCGTCTCTCTATAACTCAATCTGGCACCTTAGGCACTTGTATAGTTTGTCTTAGGGATAATTCGGCTCTGGCTCTCACATACAGAAACTCATATAAGTATTTATTACAAACAATTATAATTACATTATAATCACATTATAATTGTTTGTTGTACAGTATAATTGTGGTTAAACATTTGTACTAAAATCTATTTATAATATAAAAATATATGAATACAAGTAGAGATTAAAATACTTGTTAAGTAACTGGCTAACAAAAGTACGGACTAGATCACAACTATGTATATACATTTTATATACAACATGTAACGTAATTAACGCACACCCTCAAACACCCCAATTAGAATATTATGTTATAATCATAATACATACACTAAATTTTTAATTTAACATGTATATGCATCGTTACTGGTCTTGTCATAAGGTTTATTTTTCTTTATTTTATATTGAATAATAGAATTTGTATGAATACAAATAAAACTGCGATTTTAAAAGTCTCATTGCTTTGACTTACGGTCCATTTCGATTTGTTTTAACAATACAGGGTTAATATGACAATAATTTCCGCAGTTTTAATTATTTTTGGGATAAAAAATGACCTATAATAAAAATTATGTAAATCGATTCAGTTAACGATGCTGAACAAACTATTTTCGGATGTGCGTTATTTAAGTTACATGTTGTATAAGAAATACTTTATAGTATAGATAAACATGGTTAAATATTCGATTTTTTTAAAACTTAATAAGAAATGATATATAGAGATTTTTATGTTTTACAATAGGGATGATGACAGGGTATGAAAATTTAAAATGTAATTAGTCCGTCAGTTAGGTAATGAAAAAAATATTAGACACGTATTTTTTTTGTCGTATAAGAAAACAATACTTAGATAAAACGAATCAAAGTTTAGGAGTGGGAGGTAGATACGTCATTTTAGAGTATAAATCGTACTCAAAAGTGACGTCATGCGATATTTCAAATCAATATATCTTCGAAACTATTCGTTTCCGTACGAAAATAAAAAATACGTGTCTAATGTTTTAAATAATCTATCAGACGGACATTGAAATAAAAATTTGTCATCTACCCTATTACATTGTAAGGATATATAAGTAACATTTAATTAATTAAATACATTTCTGTATATAGTTGTTGTAAACATTCATATACATTGGCAGTTATGTCCTACTTAAGATTGTCATGTGAAAACTAAAATTTTCGTCTCTAAAAAGTCATTATTGTTCAAAACACTGAATTAAATAATGTTTTACAGCTTACGGTGATTGTTATGGGCCCCCGGTAAAGCTTGAAATACGTCGAGAAATTCCCGAAACAACAACATATGTAAACCGTAAACCATACAACTAAAAATTCAATAATACTTTACGCAACCGACAATACAGATTAGACACAAGTAAGCTACACTATGTGATTATAACAATTCTACATAATCATATATTTACTTATATACTATGATATCACACTAAACTTGTATATTAAATAGGTATACACGGCTACACATAACTTTGCAAAAACCAGTATTAGCTGACCGTTGTGTCTACAGGAAGGTTATATAAAGCGAGACCACGATAAACTGGATATTTATAGCTACACAAAGATATTCAAGACCAGTATAAACTCCCGAGCGTACGGCGCGTCGCGTTTCGCGTGCGCCTCGAAGAGCCATCAGACCGCCACTAGGGCTGGTGCCCGATACGGAGCCGCGCAAGGCCTAACAGAGGCCTTAGTACGAGTTTGTTTTACGTTTAAAGTAATCGTACCGAGTACGCGTTCGGCGCTGTGATTGGTTGCTTCATTGGTGCCGGCCAATCAGAGCGCCGAACGCGTTCTCGTTTTGAATACTTTAAACGTAAATCAAACTTGTACTAAGGCCTCGGGTTACCAAGGCTCCGACTCGACGTGCAGGAGTAGGAACGGGGTGGTTTTTAGTCAATAAGAGTCTGACACTCCGTCTCGCTTAAGCCAAGGTGGGATAAGACATTGAATGAATTTCCCCCCTCAAAACAAGACCAGTAAAAACTGACCGTTGTGTCTGCAGAAAGATCATACAAAGCTAGACCATGATAAATTGGTCTTGTATAACCAGTTTAAAATGGTTTTGTATCTAATATATCAAATTCTCGTGTCACAGTTTTCGTTGCCATACTCCTCCGAAACGGCTTGACCGATTTTTGATGAAATTTTTTGTGCTTATCCGGTATATATGAGAATCGGCCAACATCTATTTTCATCCCCCTAAATGTTAGGGGTAGTCCAGTCCACCCCTAAATTAGTTTTTTTTATTTTTTAGAAAAAATGGTTAATTTCTATTTTTTTATGATACAACATACAAAAATACATTTAATCCTCAATTTTCACCCTTCTACGAAATTATTTATATGGCTAAACAACGTTTGCCGGGTCAGCTAGTAACCAGTACAAACTGGTTTTGAATAGCCAGTATAAACTGACCGTCGAATATGCACAAAGGTCATACGAAGTGAGATCATAATAAAGTGGTTTTGTGTAGTTGGATCTGTAACCGTGTTTTCAATATATTACTATCTTACAATTATTACATATATTGTTATCATACCTTCATGGTCAGACTCATTCTCTTACGGCCGAAGTTATCTAATTACTTATTTCAATCCTTTCAATCTTTAACATCAGTTGTTTTTATAATAACTATCTTGAGACATTAAATTAAGTAAAATCACGGGTTACTCACGTGAATATAGTGAGAAAAGCTCTACTAGTTTCGAACTACAGAGGGGTTCTTCCTCATGAGCAGCGTGCGCGGTCGCGGCGATGTCGCTGTTGTCAATTTTACTTAATTAAACATCAGTTGTATGGAGAGTCAAAACGTATCGATTCACGGACGTAGTTATATTATTAAATCATGGAACGATTCAGATTTTGAATTAATGGCGGTCCTTAATGTTCGTGGTTGAAACTTAAAAGGTTCATGTTCCCATCGATAAAAGTTACAAGGGAGAAAATACGGGATGTCCAGTAATTAGTGCACCATACTGTAAGCTGGTCATGTACCCTATTTTTTTCAGAACGAAAACACTTAACCCAGTGGTTAAACAGACATTATACGACTCTAAGGTCGGAATACTCAAACGCTACTCGAGCTTAACTATAGTTCTGTCACCACTAATTCAGATGGACACGATGGACTAAAATGACAGAGATGGCACGATATTTAAGCACGACTTAAAATTGAGTAACGTTTCAGTATATATAAGTACGGAGTTTAAACAAGAAAAAAAGCTATTTAGTAAATTATTAAAATAAATCAAACATCGTCCTGAAGCTCCAAAGAGTCTTTAAAACTAACAAAATAAAGAAAATATTTTTTTTAAATATAAGTTTTATAAACTCAAAATAAACAATTAAAAATAATGCGATCAAATTAAAACAACGTATAATAACAATAAGCAATAATGATAAATTAAATTAATACAAAATCACTGTCAGTATACTAAAACCTTAAAAACGTGAAAATATATCTAAAATTAACTAGAATTATTTGTATTGTAACTTTCGTGAGACATACTAAATAAATTATTATGTGTTCGGCTTACTTACGTAATAATTTGACGAGGAACTCGACTAGTGCGTCGACCCGGGATTCGAACTCAGCAGCAACGGAGCTACCGGCGGCGGGCGAGTCTAGCGTGCCAACAGTGCCGATACCACGAGTGGACGAAAGTGCGCGGGAATCACGGCAGAGGGCGCGCTGGTCCCGCAGATTCGAGTAGCCAGTAGCAGTCGTCAAATGGTTACGTGAGTAAGCCGAAAACATAATAAATTATTAGTGTTTAACACTTGGGAGCAAACAAACGGAGCGTTGTATATTTATACCGACTTCAAAAAAAGGAGGAGGTACTATGTTCGGCTGATAGTTTTTTTTTTGTTTGTTCACCGATTACTCCGCCATCTGTGAACCGATTTCCAAAATTCTTGTTTTGTTTGAAAGGGTACCTATACTCCCGAGATGGTCCCATTTCCATGTGGTCAGGATCTTATGATGGAATCCTAAGGAAACCGAGGGGAACTTTCGAAAATTCTAGGGGCGAGTAATGCGTCTATTATGTTTTTTAAACTGTCAAACACCAAGCGGTCACCGGTGACCGCAACCTATTGTTCTATAATTGTGTCTACCAAACCGGTACTCGACGAGTTAAACACTACAATTTGATAAGGGTCTGGAGTCGACCTGATGATGGAGCCGACACTCCTTTTCGTCTCACCCAAGGCGGAGATATCATTGGATGATTTTAACCCTTCAAAAATAGTGACTCCGGTTCTTTGCTCCCAAGTGTATTATCAAGTATCAACAATAATATATTCTTTGACTTATTTTGAGGACAGCCTATATGACGTAGGTATATGTATATTTAAGAATATTTATATTGTACTGTACAGATCTTGTATGTGTTGTATTCAATTTGTTTTCTGGGCTAGTGGACATGTTGAACTGAATACAATTTTTTCTATTCAATAGGGATGATGATGACAGGGTATGAAAATTAAAAATCTAATTAGTCCGTCAGTTAGGTAAAGAAAAATATTCGACACGTATTTTTTTATTTTGTCTTATATGGAAACAATACTTCGATAAAACGAATCAAAGTTTAGGAGTGGGAGGTAGCTACGTCATTTTAGAGTATAAATCGTACTCAAAAGTGACGTCATGCGATATTTCAAATCAATATATCTTCGAAACTATTCGTTTCCGTACGAAAATAAAAAATACGTGTCTAATGTTTTTAAATAATCTACCAGACGGACATTAATATAAAAATTAGTCATCTACCCTATTCATGGGGTGCAAATATTGATTATTATAATAATGTAGGCACCTAAACTTATCTTGACCGAATTTACATAGAAGTGCACTATTATTTTATAATTTTTGTGGAGATAAAGGAGCCACATAAGCGAGAATAACATAGGATTCTTCTTTTAACTTTAATTCCTGTCATTGTGTAATCACTAGAGATGCAACGAATAGTTGTTTGGCCGGATACCGGATATTCGGCCTGACCACCAGCCGAATATTCGGTATCTGGTCGCCGAATATACGGCCGGGGCAGTGTCATACCTACATTTTGAGTTTCGTAGGTGCGTTTCGCGTACCGCCACGCCGCTCGCCGTGCTGGTTTTGACTTGTTGTTATAAAAGTTAAACTGTCAAACACCAAGCGGTCACCGGTGACCGCAACCTATTGTTCTATAATTGTGTCTATAATGACGGTACTCAATGAGTTAAAATTGTTTAAAATAATAAAAAAGATTCAATTACAACTGTGTCTCTATTTATATTTCATTTATAAAATCTACCAAGTATACTATCTGGTATTCGGTCGGATAGTACATTACCATACGGTTTCCAGCCAAATAGTAAATAACGGCTGGATAAGCCGGATACCGGATAGTGACCGAATATTCAGTGCATCTCTAGTAATCACAATGTAAAAAAATCACGACACTTATATGTAATAGCATCTAACATAAAAGCTACTGAACAGTCTGGAACAAGATAAGTAAGGGTACGAAACTATATGCTTCTGAAGTAAAAGTAACGATAGTTTCTTGCTCGTACTTCTCCATTCATAACTACACTTAGGATCGAGCGCCTAGCTTCACTGACAGGCAGACGGAAATAGAATTCAATTTAAACGTTTGAAAAGTACCTATTTGAGGATTAATTTAAATAAATGCTTTGACTTTGATTTTGAAATGGTTTTTGCCCGTATTTAGTCCACTACACACCCACTAACTAACAGTTCCCCGTCAGTCGGGCGCCGCCCAGCTGTCGTAGACATGTTGCCAGTCTATGTGTTTGAAGAATGGATGACGTTTGATCTCCTCGACGCCGTCTTTGCCCGCGCCCAGGCGTTCTGACGGCTCGTAGGTCAGGAGCTGAAATGAGATATAGGGATTTAAATTGTGTTCCTTGAATCTACACCAATATTTATTTATTTATTTCTTCTTCAAAAACATGTCAGTGAATGGCCGACTTAATGCCTTAAGACATTCTCTTACAGTCAACCATAGGGAAGTGCAGAGAAATGAAGTGGTTGAGGCGAAGCCAGAACCAATTCAAACAATGTCATGTGGAAATTTTATTATTTGTTTTGAATAAGCTCTAAAACTGCGGGTTCAATTTGAAATATACTTTTACCATTGCAAACCTACATTATACCTGATAGGCCTTTTTTTCACACAATAAATACATATTTATTGTGTGAAAACTTCGATAATGTAACCCGATGTGCGAAAATCTACCAAAAATTTCCTTATATAGCGAGAAAATCCAAATCCTGCCAAAATTTATTACGCGCACGAAGTCGCGGGGATCAGCTAGTGTGTTAGTAAAAGTATTTTTTTTTTTGGAATTAGTTCACATATTGTGCACAGTATTGTTCAGCAATGGACAAACGAATAAACTTCCACTTGATGTATACAATTTGATAAAAGGGCCTTATAAAGTTGAAAGGATATTCAAAAAAAGTTGGTCGTAGTTAGAATGAGGTTGTAACCAAAGCTAAGTATTGAATAAACTATAGAAAAATACAAATCAGAGTAATAATTAGAATCAAAATAAACGGCACACAAACGCAAAATTAATGACTAAAACAAAAAAATATTGAAAAGAATTTTGTAAAACGCAAAAAGAGACGTGTGGCCCATGAGGGGATCGAACCCGCGACCTTCGCGTTATTAGCACGACGCTCTAACCAACTGAGCTAATGGGCCGATGTTAAAAATGTCGAAATAGGGTACCACATCACTAGAGATCTTCAGAATGCCTTTGTAAAGATAAATTTCATGAACATTGATACAAATGTAAGTATTTATCAATAACTTTAGATAATAGTACAGTTTACTAAGTGCTTGATAAACAAATACATACAAAACAATAGACATCATTTATCAGTAGTTTTTAAATAATAAAAATGATTCAAAAGTAAATAGTAGATTGTACTTCAAATTACTGAAACAGACTAAAGATAAAAAAAAATGAAATCTAAGGCATAGCAAAACGTCAACGTCACGCGGTGTTCCCAGGCGGTCACCCATCCAAGTACTGACCGCGCCCGATGTTGCTTAACTTCGGTGATCGGACGAGAATCGGTGTATTCAACATGATATGGGCGTTGACGGTTGCTAACTTGAATTTTGAGAGTAGTATCAACTCGATAGTCCATACATAGATAGTTGAAGTATTCAAAATGTTTGAATGCCAAAGGTCTAGATAACACAGACTTACTTATATCCCGGAAGCGACGAATTTTGAATAACATTTAAGTATGTGAGAGTCATGCTTCGGCACGAATGGGCCAGTTCGACCGGAGTGATGCCACGGCCTCGGGTTACCGGAGGCCGTGGTATCACGCCGATTGCTTACGATCAGAGGGCTTACTCTTGAATCCAATTCCGATCGATCGACATTGACATTGTGAAATTTCGTACTCTTGAATTACAACACTAGCGCCAATTGCATGTGTATTGCATGAATTTTTCATGAACTAAATAGTATTGAGGTTGGCTATATATTCCGTGTTCTGAATGCTACTTTAACAGCTACAATAGGGGTTGTATAGTTTTGACATTGGATAATAGGCATGGCGACTATTTTTTAATTTTTTGTCCGTCTTTTAGATATTTTAAAAATCTTCGATACGTATTTTTTCTTTTTTCTCGTATCCAAAAAACCATGTAGATATTTTGAGTTAAAATGACGCGTGACGTCACAATTAGGTACGATTTCTCCGTAAGTGTGACGTCAACACCCCCCACTCCCTAACTTTAATGCGGAATAACTACGTATTCTTCTGTTAATTTGATAAAACAAAAAATACGTGTCTGATATTTTCGTGCGATCTTAATGACGGACTAATTACTTTTTTGATTTTTTTACCCTGTCGACACGCCTATTATTGAGATTTTATTGCATTGGCATTGAGATTGGTTTCAAGAGTAAGATGATGTCTGCTCGTTAGGCTTATCCCATAAAAATAGGCTGATTTTTATCCGACGAGAAGCTAACAGAAGCTACAGGAAGTACACGAATAAAAGGATGTATTGTAGGTACATACCTGTGTGAGTATGGACTGCGTCTCCAGCGGTAGTCCGTCAGGTAGCTGCAGGATGGTGTGCGACGTGAACAAACTGCCGTGGTAATGGGACAGCGGCTGGAGGAAGATAATTAAACAATCATTACTTTTTATTGATAAAAAAAATCATAAGATGTCAACAGGCTCACCCCCTATTACATGGGATGGGACTCATCTATACTAATATTATAAACAGGAAAGATTTGTACCTATTTTTGTATGTTTGTAATGAATAGGATCAAAAAGTACTGGGCCGATTTAAAAAATTCTTTTACCAATAGAATGCTACATTCTTCCAATTTCACATAGGCTACATTTCATTTTGAAAAAAATTAGGGATCCTTGGTAAATTTGAACAATGTAACCGAAGGTGTAGAAAAATGAATCTGAAAATGTCTTTCGTCGAATGCGCTGCCGAAACTATTAGCGATAGAACAAAATAATGTACAACAATATTGATGAACATCATAATGTCTACAAAAAACTCCGCGATAGCATATGTCCAACTATTGTAGTTATGTCACTACAACAATCCAAACCAAAAATAAATAATTTTCTAACCGGGCGAAGCCGGGACGGGCTGCTAGTAACATAAATAGTGAATAGTGGGTGTTACATCGTACAGTAGGATTAAGTGCCGTAATGTGCACGTCTGCCTACCCTTTCGGCGATAAAAGGCGTGATGACAGGTTATTATTTTTTATTTTAAAGGTAAAGTCAAAGCTGTGGAGAAGAACGAGCAAGAAACTCCATTTGATACTTTTTAATTATTGGTTTAGTATTTGTTAAGTTAGGGACGATTTTCCAAAGCCAAATATATTAGACGAATAACTTTCTTCCTTATCTAATAAACAATGTCAAATGTCAATTTTATTGTAAGGTTAAGAATTATCTGTGGATGGAATAATTAATTGTCAAATATTCAGTGATTAAATACTCAGTTTATATTTATCTAGCATTGGAAAAATCGGCCCTTACTGTTATAGTCTAACCGTCAGACAATTTAATGTACTTATCTGAAATGGTTAATAAGTGTAAGTTAAGAATTTCCATGATTAACTTTCACTGGAGAAGTGGAGAACATGGTATACATACAATATTTAAACTTTCTAAAGTGCATTTAATATATGTAATTTGAAAAAATAATTAAGTTTTAATTGTTATGTTCAATTTGACCAAAATCCGAGACCAACTTCCTTGTCTTACTTTGAGAGCAGTTGGCTAAGAATTGTTTTTTTCTTTCTCTCTCTTTATAGCCAAGTCTTTCAAGACAGAAGTAATATCTAGGATTTCATTCAAAAAACAAACTTAATCTATTAAAAAAAATCGTAGGAGAGTGAAAAATGTACATTGAATATTTTTTTTAAACAGAGCTTTGGTTATGTTATGATCTAAACTCGATACCGAAACCGAAAATATGGATTTTAGAATTTTTGTGTTTGTCTGTATGTATGTCCGGGATGAACTCAAAAAGTGTTGCATGGATTTACTTCAAACTTTGCATGAATATTACTAACTAGCAGCCCGTCCCGGCTTCGCACGGGGTAGACAATTATTTATTTTTGGAAATTTGGATTGTTGTAGTGACGTAACTACAATAGTTGGACATATGCTACCGCGGAGTTTGTTGTAGACATTATGATGTTCAATATTGTTGTACATTATTTTGTTCTATCGCTAATAGTTTCGGCAGCGCATTCGACGAAAGACATTTTAAGACTCATTTTTCTACACCTTGGGTTACATTGTTCAAAGGGCATTGACTAAAATTGGTGCCTTTCTTTTTTCTGGCGGCAGTCGATGATTTATGGAAAATATTATATAGAATGTCATTACAAACGAAATTGTCTATGGGCTCATATATGGAAATCTCAGTCTGGACTGAGTTATGAGCGTTAAAAGGAGCTGGAATCAAACATTTTATTTTGGTTTTTTTATTCAAATTATTCATATTTTTGTCGCAAATCCTAACTTCAAATTGCGCGACACTGTACACCGGGCACAGAAATACCAAATCACACCACAGTATATATCCATATTGCCAGTCGCTAATTTTTACTACCTATTTTCTCTTAGTCGATAACTTGTGGGATGCTTCTAGGAGTTGTGTCATGAAGCTTCATGAGTGTCAGCTGTGGTACCAGTGGTGGGTTGAGTAGTTGTAGCCGTCCAAACAACTAATAATGTATTTTTTGCGGTTGACTCCTGGTGGGAGACTCATCTACTTTATAGTTAGCATAATCTTTTGAAGAAACCAAACCGTCGACTTTGTTAAGTGATGGAATATACGTCATATGAGTGCGTTTTTTTTATAACGTGATCATTCGAAATGCATCACTTTGTGACTGAATGACGATGCCTTTGTACAGGATCTTATGCTAGATGTAGATTAAAGTATTAACTGTAGTTAGATTAGTCACTAATTGGAAGTAGGTAATTCGGGAGAAGTAGACAGAAAAATGATTTTTTCGTGTTTTGACGACTGTTACTACTCAATCCGCTACCGACGCCGCAGCTGACAAACATAGCATTTCATGATAGGGCTTAGTAAAGTATTTTGCGGGTTTTTGATTGAGAGGAAATTGATCATGAAAATCTGTCATACGCCATAAACCGTATAAATATAAATTGAACACGCTAGCCAATCAAACGAAATGTTTTTTTTCTGCAGCAGTGGTCAGTTAAACTGTCAAACACCAAGCGGTCACCGGTGACCGCAACCTATTGTTCTATAATTGTGTCTACAAAACCGGTACTCGACGAGTTAATGGTTCACGCTGTTCTGATTCCGTGGCCGTGGTGTAAAAACGTTCTCAATAATATTTATTATATTCCTTGAAATCGTTTATAACTATTTATTACAAAATATTTTTGACAAGTAAATGAAATATGCGTTGTGTACGGTCACCATCAACAAAATCACAGGAATTATATAGCACTATTTTCACATCTTTGGACTGATTTAACTCGGTTCGGACTGTGTTTATGATATAAGACCCCATACATTTTTTTGTTTGTAATGTTATTCTGCATCAGTTTATCCACACCCGATCAACTGCCGCGAAAAAATGAAAAAGCACCACGCTCCATACAAATTTGGTCATTGTCATTTTACCAAGGATCCCTATTTTTTTTCAAAATGAAATGTAGCCTATGTCAAATTGGAAGAATGTAGCATTCTATTGGTGAAAGAATTTTTTAAATCGGCCCAGTACTTTTTGAGCCTATTCATTACAAACATACAAAAATAGGTACAAATCTTTCCTCTTTATAATATTAGTATAGTATAGACAGGTCGGGTCAACATATAGGCTACATATTATCATGCTAACGACTGCGGGGGAGGAGCTGTGAATCACTATTCCACGCGGACGAAGTCTCTGGCTCGGCTAGTCTCTTACTAATTCACTACTTAATGTCAAGTAATACTCACGATCCCACAAACGAGCTCATACAGCACAGCTCCGAAGCTCCAGTAATCACAAACATGGTCCAAGTCGGGCGTCTCATCCAACGTGTTGGTATATATCTCAGGCGCTATATGTGGGCGCGGCGTGGATCCCGGCCGGAGTACTGAGACCCGCATGTCCGAGCCCGGGTAGTACTGGAAGTAGGTCAGGATAACCTGGCCACGGTCGCCTAGGAGAATGTTTGAGGGGTTCAGGTCTCTGCGGATGGAGAAGTTTTCTTTAGTATTGAGATTAGTTAGTATGCACCTGAAAATGTATTAAGCACTAATTCATCTAATATTTTTAAACGTGCAATTGATAACGTCTCCAAGGATTTTCTTAAAGTTTTGTATTTGGGGTGTTTTGGGGGCGATAAATCGACTTAACTAGGTTTCATTTGCCGAAAATGTAGTTTACTAAAATAAAACCGAACTAAGCTCGGTTATCCAGGGACTAATTGCAGAATACATTAGTCACTATCTTCTCACGCGGGTGTCGACTGTGTACGTACATATTTAACAGAAAGCGGGCAGTAGTTTCCTGCCTGATAAATAAGATCCTACCAACACGCATGTCGAGTATCCAGCAGTGGACTTTCGTTAGCTGTTCATGATGATGAATATTTTTTACAAAAAGTTAAAATATGTCTAATAATTAAGCAAAAAGTCAACGTCACGTGGTGTTCCCAGGCGGTCACCCATCCAAGTACTGACCGCGCCCGATGTTGCTTAACTTCGGTGATCGGACGAGAACCGGTGTATTCAACATGGTATGGACGTTGACAATAGAGTTGTCGAAATTCTCAACCGCTTTACGTGGGACAGCGATGCTTCGGCAATATTATACCGATTCAACCGTAATGATACTTTACAAAACCATATGACACAATATATCCTATTGTGCGAGTCCGGGAAGCTGAATCTCCCTTAAAGGCCCGACAATACACTTGTCATTTTTTTGGCGACACAGATTGCTTATCTTCAGGTAATTTGTCTGCATGTTTGCCGAAATATGCCATAATAGTCCCATAATTGATGTATTAGTGTCATATCAATGAAACCAGCGACCCAATATGTGGAGGAAAGGAAAGGGGTCTCGGGTTCGATTCCCGGGACGGGCAAAAGACTACTGGGTTTTTGAAAAATTCTCAGTAGTAGCAGGGAGTCTGGAATTGTGCTCGGTATATGGCAATAGGCTCACTATCTATTACATGGGACTCATAACATAAATAGTGAAAAGTGGGTGTTACATTGTACAGTGGCATAATGTACACCTCTGCCTACCCCTACGGGGATAAAAGGTGTGGTGTTATGATGTTATGTAGTCCCATAATTGACGTAATAGTGTCATATCAATGAAACCAGCGGCCCAATATGTGGAGGAATTGATTTAAACTGTCAAACACCAAGCGGTCACCGGTGACCGCAACCTATTGTTCTATAATTGTGTCTACAAAACCGGTACTCGACGAGTTAAAAATGTTCAATCGGTTGTCAATACAGACTTAAAACATTATATACATAGTTAGTTAAGCAGTACCTGCATATAACGCCGGCATTGTGCAGACAGTGTAGCGCGGTGAGTATCTCGGCCGCCCACCGACACACCGCCGACGCGGGCAGCTCGCGCCCGCCGCACGGAGACTGGGACATACAGCCAAATACATATATTATCAATTTTTAATTATTAATCTTATACTATTGTATAATGACTGCCTCGTTGGCCGAGTGGTCGCAAGCGCAAATAAAAATTTGCCATCTACCCTGTTCACAGAAAGCCTGGCTCACAGAAATATCCAAACTATAATATATAAATCGGAAATTGAGTTTGTTTGTTTGTTTGTTTGTTCCGCTTTCACGTCGTAACTACTAAACCGATTGCTTTGAATTTTTGCAAACGTAAAGTTAGAATAGGCATGGCGACTATTTTTTAATTTTTTGTCCGTCTTTTAGATATTTAAAAAATCTTCGATACGTATTTTTTCTTTTTTCTCGTATCCAAAAAAACATGTAGATATTTTGAGTTAAAATGACGCGTGACGTCACAATTAGGTACGATTTCTCCGTAAGTGTGACGTCAACACCCCCCACTCTAATGCGGAATAACTACGTATTCTTCTGTTAATTTGATAAAACAAAAAATACGTGTCTGATATTTTCGTGCGATCTTAATGACGGACTAATTACTTTTTTGATTTTTTTACCCTGTCGACACGCCTATTCTGGGTTAAATAATAGGGTATTTTTTATCCCGGAATTTTTTATATTCTCGAGGGAAAACAAAAGTATTGGTATAGATGGCGCTGTGTGTATTGATATGTCACATAGGTTACTTTTTATCCTTTTGTGACGCGATCGAAGCCGCGGGTAAAAGCTAGTCTTTAATATATCTGTGGCCTCGCTGGTATATTTATTTAACTCTTGTTTATTGAAAAGAGTAATATACAGAACAGAAAACAGAAAAATTAAAATTACCAACCACAATTTACAAATAATCATTAGGTACACGTTATATTCCGAAACGGTCGCCCATCTGAATTCTGAATGAGTCTAACGTTACTGTATGAACTGGTATGCTATCTATAATCCATGTTTGAATTTACTCTTCTATTTCAGGTAAATAATTGTCAACGTCCATACCATGTTGAATACACCGGTTCTCGTCCGATCACCGAAGTTAAGCAACATCGGGCGCGATCAGTACTTGGATGGGTGACCGCCTGGGAACACCGCGTGACGTTGACTTTTTGCTAAGCCTTAGATTTCATTTTTTTTTTATCTATAGTCAGTTTCGGTAATTTTAAGAACTATCTGCTAATAAAAATCCTGTTAAGATCAGTTCAGTAGCTTTTTGAGTTTATCTCGAACAGATACATGGTAAAACATGATTTAGTCTTAAAATATTTTTTTATTTAGATATTGGGACAAGCCCGCCACAACCTCCCAAAACCGCTGCAACTCCTGTAAGCCAGGATCTGTAGATATAACCATGAAAACACCGTCTTGACCAATTGTTTTGGTCCCCGCAACGAAATATATCAGAAGATATTATAAGAGGAACAAGATAGTTCTCACTGCCTTCGGTGAATTTATGCAGGAGACAAAACGAATTAAGCCTAAAGGCACAAAAAGAGACTGTACAACTGGGTGAAGCCCAGTCGCCAAGCACCACGGAAATTTGACTAAAAACTAAGTGGGGTCCTATGTGTCAACTGTTATTATACTTGCTTCCAAATGTTTTAAATATGAAAAACTCACCCTTTTAATGCTAGGAGTAGTATCACAAGCGTTATCAACCTTACAATCGCCTTCACTGGTCGTTACCTCAGCCGATGACTCACACAGGACTTTATCAACATTTAACAGCAGTTTCTGAGAATTCAACACCAACTCGTTGACAGACAACTCCTTATTGTTATTCGTTGCCTCTTCAATGTCACAATTGTTGTCATTTTTCTCAAAATTCTTGTTTTTTGGTTCCGTGAAGACATTTTCTAAGTTGACTTCTCTAGCCGGTGTCGTGGGTAAGGATTTTGAGTAGTTCTTGATGTATTCGAATAGTTTCTTTCCCGGGGCGTAGGATAGTATTAGAAATATTAAGTTGTTTGTTTCTATGTACGCTTGTAAAGGCACCATGTATGGTATCACTGTTGGTAAGACTGGCTGTCGAGTCTCGTTCGTCCGTTGAAGGAAGAATTCGTCAAATTCTGTTAGATTGTTCGGTATTTTTTGGATCACCTGTAAATGAAAAAATAGTTTTTAAAACATATCAATAAACTAGCTTGTACCAGCTGTTTCCGTGGGATAATAAAAAGCCTGTGTGTTATTCCAGACCATTAACTATTCCTGTTCCAAATGTCATCACGATCCCTTCAGCCGTTCCGACGTGATCAAGAGTACTTAACAAACATTTACACAAACTTTTACATCACATTAATATTATAAATGTGTTTCTTTGTTTGGATGTTTGTCCGTCTATTACGCTGAAACTACTGTACGGATTTTGAAGAAACTTGGTACACAGGCAGGGTATGGGCTGACTTAAGTGATAGGTTTTCTATCCAGATTAAATTCTCCCATGGGATAAAACAGGAATCATATACTACGCGGACGAAGTCGCGGGCTACAGCTAGTCTATACTAATATTATAAAGAGGAAAGATTTGTACCTGTTTTTGTATGTTTGTAATGAATAGGCTCAAAAAAACTGGGCCAATTTAAAAAATTCTTTCACCAATAGAAAAATGAGTCTTAAAATGTCTTTCGTCGAATGCGCTGCCGAAACTATTGGCGATAGAACAAAATAATATACAGCAACATCATAATGTCTACAAAAAACTCCGCGGTAGCATAATATGTCCAACTATTGTAGTTATGTCACTACAACAATCCAAATTTCCAAAAATAAATAATTGTTTACCCCGTGCGAAGCCGGGACGGACTGCTAGTTTATAATAAACTAAGATAAGTAAGATTATTAAACGGTAAATCCATTATAAATCTACATTATCAATCAAAAGTCTCATTTCATTAGGACGTGTCTGTCCATAGTTGTTGGCCGAAGGACGTCCTCTATGTGTTCAAAAAGGTTATTTCTACGTTTAAATTTTTGTATCAACATAACAGTGAAGATGAGCGTAGATGAGTATTTCAAATTGATAATCGTCAACGCCCATACCATGTTGAATACACCGGTTCTCGTCCGATCACCGAAGTTAAGCAACATCGGGCGCGGTCAGTACTTGGATGGGTGACCGCCTGGGAACACCGCGTGACGTTGACTTTTTGCATAAAGTTTTTTAACAGACTTCAAAAAAAGGACTTCAAAAAAAGGGTCTCAATTCGACCGTATATATGCTTCTAACCTATCAGTGGGTGTGTAAGCTATAAGTAGGTACGTATGATGACCAATAATAGTTACTTTTTTCCATTTTAGTTTTTGAAGTTTTTTTTAACGCAGTTTTTAAATTTTATTACTATTTAGACATGCTCATTTGCATTTGACTTTTTAAACTGTATTATTTACGTGCGAGACGAGGTCTATAATCTTTAAAAGATACTCAGAATACAACTTGCGATAGATTGACACAAATATGACTTCGTCAAATAATTACAGAGAAGTAGTTGATAAGATGTCTAGGGGAAATTGTAAGGAATGCAGTTATCTCGACCACCGTTTACTAATAACATAAAGAAGAAACATTGATTGGTTGTTTGTATTCAATATTCTTCGAAATTACTGGATCGATTTTAAATAAAGGATCATTCACAATAGATACATTTTATCCCCATATTCCTACAGGATCGAGTCATGTTCTAGATAAATCTGATAAATTCCTCGCGGCGCGGGTGAAGCCATAGGCGCTAAGTTAGTTGAAAATAACCGTCAGTATAATCTTTGGTAAGCGTTTATCTCTTTAAAGATAATGCGACCTACTGACATAGTATGAAGTTAGTAGATTGAAGAATATCAGCCAATAATTTGAATATTTGCTATTTTTTAAAATGAGGTCTTAAAATAATATTATGTAGGTCAATTTTTATAATGGTTTTGTGCTATTATCGTAAGAAAAATAGTTTTTTTTGGCACGATTGATATGAATTTAAGTGTGAATGAATGATGCTCTTGTCGCCGCCGGCTGCCGCACATTGTTGCTCATGACTATTGGTCCCTAGTGTGGTTCGAAATTAGTAGAGTTATCCCGACAAACAATAAGCAAGCAGCGATAATTGGGATGATGACAGGGTATGAAAATTAAAATCTAATTAATCCGTAAGTTAGGTAATTAAAAATATTAGACACGTATTTTTTTGTCGTATAATAAAACAATACTTAGATGAAACGAATCAAAGTTTAGAAGTGGGGGTTAAAACGTCATTTCTACGTATAAAATGTACATAGAAGTGACGTCACGCAACACTTCAAATCAATATATCGTTGAAATTATTTTATTTTATTTATTTAAAAAAACTTTATGCACACAAACAAGTACATGGGTGGACTTAATGCCGCAGGCATTTTCTACCAGTCTGACCCTTGGGTGATGCAGAGAAAGTAATCAGCGGGTGCAAGAACATGCTTTGAATTTAACTGTTTGAAAGAACACATATATAATTGGACAATATACACAATATATTATTCGTTTCTGTAAGAAAATAAAAAATATGTGTCTAATGTTTTAAAATAATCTACCAGACGTACATTAAAATAAAAATTATGCACCTACCCTATTACAATATTAAAGTTTGGAACATTACCTAGAGAGAGTTGTGGATTGTAAGTCGTTGTAGTGACAAGGATTGAAAAGGGAATGTTATGCTGATTTGGACATGTAGAAAGGATCGATGAAAGTAGATTTACGAAAGAAGTATACAGAGCGGATATGAATGGCACAGTCAGTAGAGGACGTCTTAGACGGACATACATATATCGACCATATTGGCGATATATTAAAGGATCAAAATAAAAGTACCCTTAACACGTTAAACGCCATGGCAGTCACTGGTGACCGACATTAGCGGAGGATTTACCTTCAATAGTTTTTTATTGGCAGCCAATGCCTTAAGCAACAAGCATATATGAAAATACGAATGATTTGTTAAGAAAAGAGGTAGGTATGTAAGAATCGTAGCAATTGGTTCCATAGTCTGCTAAAAACCCCGCTGGGAGAAAGGTCTGAGGTTATGTATATGTGTGTATGTACCTTCATGGCATAGTAGGCCTGTTCAGTCCGGTGTAGTACGAGCATGATGCTGGAGCCGAGTATGTCAAGTACTCTGTACAGCGCTAGTTCCTCGTACGGCCGCCGTAGCATCGACAGCGGGATCGGACAGTGAAGGGGACGGAGCGGCTCGTCGCGTTCCGGTAGTAGCTGCGAATTGTTGAAAGATTGATAAGTACCCATTTTTATGGACAGGCCCGCCGCAACTTTTCAAAACCGCTGCAATTCCTATATAGAATCTGTAGAAGATACAATCATGAAAACATTAAAACAGTAAATTTCGGTGAGTCCTAGGAAAATGAACACCTGTCTTGGATCCCGAAACGAAATAAAATCAGAAGATTATATTAACTAAAAATCACGACGGCGACATCGTCGTAACCGCGAATTCTGCTCATGAGGAAGAGTCCCTATGTGACTCGAAACTAGTAGAGCTAGCTTTTCTCACTATATTTACGTCAGTGACTCGTGATTTTAAGTTAATTCAGTATGTCTCATAGTTATTATCAAAAATATATAATCTCTCTCGATAGTTATTATAACAACATATCTGAAGATGTTGTGTTAGAATCTGTTGCATATGTGGGTATGTTTATTAAGTACGAATGCATGTGTGTGTGTCATCATAAGAATCAGGAATCCATAATGTTAAACCAGTCGTAAATAAATCAGTGCAATGCAACCACGTATTTCTCTTACCTAAAATCCCCGCAAGCAAAAGTGAATCTTATTACTATAACAGAAGATATTATTAGAGGAGAATAAAATAAATAGTAAGGCAGGTTTCATGCTTAAACTGTCAAACACCGCGCTGTCACCGGTGACCGCAACCTGTTGTTCTATAATTGTGTCTATAATGACGGTACTCGACGAGTTAAAAAGGTTTTATGCTTGCTGCGGTTGGCATCCCATGTCACTTTAACCCCACCCTTAACTATAAGATTTTTTTCAAAGCAATAACTAATCCTATTGGCTATGTGCGCGACGGTGGCGACGCGTAGCGTTCACAACATTTGCGGAAGCTGTCAAATAATAACAATGTAAACATTATAATTTTCTTTGCAAATATAAATAAAACCAATGATTGAAATAGTACTGTTGACATTATTTAAGTGCAATTTATACAATAGTTTTACTGTAAAACGAATATAATAATAAAAACCGGGTTTGCATCATCCCCATTTGTTTCCAATTTCTGCCGTGTTGTGCGCTGCGGTCGTTATCTGTCCGCCACTACTCGCTTTGCACATAGCCAAAAGGATAGGTGTTGCTGTGACGAAACAATGTAACTAAGAATTGTATTGTGAACCTAATTGAAAAAGAGTAACTTATGGAGTTTCTTGCTCGTTCTCCTCCACAGGAATCTACACTTTGGAACGAGCAAATAGCTTCACTAGAGGACTGACCGACAGACTAACATTTTTGCTTTAATATTTAAATATTTTGTTTTGACGTTCAACAGTGCCTTCTTGGTCTAATTGAAAGAAATGATTTCGACTTTGTGTTGCAATACTCACTGTTTGTTCAGTATCACAGAGATGGTTCTTGTAGATTTCCTCGGCGTACGAGAGGTATTTGTTTGTCTTCTCCTTGATCAGCGCCCGCCGCTGTGGGTCCGTGTCATCTGTCAACAAGAAACAAACTAATTAATAACCGATTAATCGATTATAATCCCTAATTAATGGTTTAACCTCTTGTCCGTGTTGCGGAGAACCTAACGGGTATTTGGGGCTCCGGCTCGACGTGCAGGAGAAGGAACGGGGTGGTTTTTAATCAGTAAGAGTCTGACACTCCCTCCCGCCTCACCCAGGCGGGAGCAGTCATTCAATGATTATCCCCCTTTAAAAAAACCTCTTGTCCGTCCCATTGAAATGTTACATGAGCTTTGCATTACATGATAAATATTAAAGGACGCAATTTTATTTTTGGGACATGTTGGGGAGGTCAGTAGAAGCTTAACCTGAAGTTTGTGGGGTCGCCAACATTGTCCCACGGCCGCCATTTTGAAAAATTTTCTGTTACATGCATAGTTTCAGAGATATCGCAACTTAAGTGTTTTCAGCCCTTTTTTAAGCCAATAATCCCCAACATGTGCAAAAAATTAAATTGCGTCCATTAAAAAATTCAATATTCGGTCCTTAAACTGTCAAACACCAAGCGGTCACCGGTGACCGCAACCTATTGTTCTATAATTGTGTCTACAAAACCGGTACTCGACGAGTTAAATTGGAACATTTCAATGAACTACGAGTAGTTCTGCAGTCCAGCATACTACGGGTTAATCACGGAATTCGATATTTTTTTTTATGGCAAACTAACTGTTGCACGCGACTTTGTCCGCGTAGAATATGAATTTTAGAACATTATTTTTTTTTTCTAAAACAAAACTAGCATATGTTACTCCTTAGTACATCAGCTACCTGCCAATAAAAGTCTTGCAAAATTGGTGCAGCCATTCCAGATATTAGCCAGTACAAACAGACAGACAGACGTACAAAAAAATTTAAAAACATTTTTGGTATGTGTATCATCATACCTATGTATATTCATATGCATGTAGTAAAAAGCGGTTATTTTAATATTACAAACACACACTCCAATTTTATCTGTATAAAGCAATCGGCATCGCCCATGGACTACTACAAAACCATAAAAATTACAAGTGCATTGTCGGCATTAATTGTAGAGCTGATGTCAAAAATCGATCCAAATCCAAAGGGTTGTTATTATTAGGCTTTTATTTATTTAGAGACTAACGCCCGAATATTGAAAGGCTATTAACTTTTAAATTGTAAGTACTTAAATATCGTGCCATCTTTGTCATTAAGGAATTTTAAAAAAATCGTTAATTCTCACGTAACATAATATTAAAAAAGAAATCACACCAGATTCTTAATAAATTCTTATGCCGAAATGCCAAAGAATAAAAGTAAAACTATAACTTTTGTGCCCTATGGAGGTGGTGCACTATTTCGAACGTTTCATCATCTGTCAGGATGGCCGAGCGGTCTAAGGCGCCAGACTCAAGGTTCCCTTGCTCACTGAACGTGAGTTCGAGTTGTTCTGGTCCTCTCTGAGGGCGTGGGTTCGAATCCCACTTCTGACAAAACTTTTTGTCATTTTTATTGAAATTTTATTTAATCTTTTTGGGTAATCTACCCACCGACTACATATGAACAATATTTTAACTACATAGGTATCAGTACTTCTTGTAATTTAATTTGGTTGCTGAAATGCTGTTAAGGTAAGTACATATTTATATTACTTACGCCCGAATACAGAAAGGCTACTCAATTTTAAATTGTACTTAAATATCGTGCCATCTCTGTCATTTTACAAAGAATTTGTGGAGACACAACTACATATACTCAAGTGCGACTTAAAATTGAGTGGTTTTAGTATGAGATTACATACACAACTTCACGCCTGTCTCCCATGGGGGTAGGCAGAGACTATGGAACGCCAATTAGGATGATGACACTTGACAGGGTATGATAATTAAAAATCTAATAAGTCCGTTAGGTTAGGTAATGAAAAAATATTAGACACGTATTTTTTTGTTTTTTCGTATAATAAAATGATACTTCGATAAAACGAATCACAGTTTAGGAGTGGGGGCTAAAACGTCATTTTTACTTATAAAATGTATATAGAAGTGATGTCACGCGACATTTCAAATCAACATATCGTCGAAAGTATTCGTTTCTGTAGGAAAATAAAAAATACGTGTCTAATGATTTAAAATAATCTATCAGACGGACATTAAAATAAAAATTAGGCGTCTACCCTATTACTACGATTCCTACATACCTCTTTTTTCATCATCAATGTTTTCATGCATGCTCGAGAGATACTTAAGAGATTTACACCATCAAATACTAACTATGCCAATGTACCTAGATAATTATTTATCTAGCGTTACGTAACAGGTGTTAGCACTTTAATATCGCTGTATGAGGACTTAGCTTCTAAATCTAATCGACACATCTATCGCAGAACATTGTATTATGATTAATACATTTCATGACAAAACTTGTTCATTGTATTTCACCTATGGATCCTCTGATAATAATGAGTAAGTTTTGTTCATCGAAACATGACACATTTTGCTGATAATTTGGAGTTATTTGTCGTAATACGTTTTATAGGTTCGGCATGGATTTATAATAAAAGGACAAAATTGTTATACATTTATTTTATACATTGTTATACTCAGACATAAATACGTACAAACATAACATCACGCCTTTTATCCCCAAAGGGGTTTTTTTTTTATTTATTTTTTTTTTAAGGGGGGAAAATCATCGAATGACTGCTCCCGCCTGGGTGAGGCGGAAGGGAGTGTCAGACTCTTACTGACTAAAAACCACCCCGTTC